ATAATAATAATAATAATAATAATAATAATAATAATAATAATAATAATGATGATGATGATGTTCAGGGGATGGAATGTTAGAAGGAAAAGGCTGAGTGGCAATGGTTAGAAGCATCCCCGAAGGGTGGCTTTTCAGCCAAGATTGCCCTGGTTTTAGAGCCTTGTTCCTTTTTTTAGAAACACTGACCTGATGGGACACTCTTTATGGTAGAGCCAGCCTATTTTTTTGTTTGTTTGTACAGTATTTCCACTGGCCTGTTCATTCCTCCCTCCAAGCTCCCTCTTGGGATCGTTCTGTTTGAATCTAGCCGGGCTAACTTGCCTGCCTGGTTTTAAAAACTGATTGCTGCTGCTATTGTTACCCCATTTCTCACCCTACAGTTAACACCCCTAGTGTGCTTTTGATTTTGGGTCTTCCTTCTCTCTGCCTTCCTCCTTTGGGCTAGCAACTGCCCTGAGCTATTGTTGGACTCAGTACCAGGGGTAGGAATGGTGTTGGGCAATATGAATTGATTGACTGACCTACTTCAGTTTCATCCTTGGGCGGGCAGGATGAATGCCCAGAGAAACAGTTAAGGGAGGGAGGAAGAAGGAGGAATGTGCCTTTGTGCCATATGTTCTTTTCTTCTTGGCTCTGCCCTGGCTGAAAAGGGGCATAAAGGAGCCCAGGACGATTTGCAGCAGTCCCAGATAGGTCTTGTGCTGTCGCTGGTGCCTCTAGCAGCTCCTGCACTGATCCCTTGCTGTCTTGCAGCTGGTTTTCTGCAGCCGTTTCTCCAGGAGCTACTACTACGTGCTCTCTTCGGCGGCAGCAGGAGCGAGAAGTGGAGAAGGATAAGGGTGTCTTTCGACTCCCCAAGCGTGCATGCCAGATCTCTGCAACTTGACATCGGAGCTTCTCTTTTGCCATCTGGGATTCCGCGCCTCCCTGAAGCCGTTGCACAGAAGAACGGAGGAGAAAGAGGAAGCACTTTTAGCAGCACTAACCCTGCCCTCTGTGGGGTTTGCATTACAGGAACATGCAGTGATTTGCTGCTTTGCCTTTAGACCCATCCCAACCGTCAGGGTGTGTGGTATATGGTGTGTGTGGGAGGGGGAGATCTACTGTCTCTGTAATAAATGATAGAGGATACAATGACTTTGCTCTCTTTGCTGGGTCGGATCATGCGTTACTTCTTACTGAGACCAGAGACGCTGTTCCTGCTATGCATCAGCCTGGCCCTATGGAGCTACTTCTTCCATACGGATGAAGTGAAAACCATAGTCAAGTCCAGCAGAGATGCAGTGAAAATGGTGAAGGGCAAGGTAGCTGAAATTATGCAAAATGACCAACTTGGGGGTCTAGATGTGCTGGATGCAGAGTTTTCCAAGACCTGGGAGTTTAAGAACCACAATGTGGCTGTTTATTCCATCCAAGGCCGGAGAGACCACATGGAAGACAGGTTTGAAGTGATCACGGATCTGGTGAACAAGACTCATCCATCCATATTTGGGATATTTGATGGACACGGTGGAGAGGCAAGTTTCAGGCTGGTTTGGGGTGATGGAATTTGCTATTGTTTTGTGTTCAGATGTTTGGGAAGTTGGGCAGTGATCATACGGGGCTTTGTAAGTTAGCTGCAAAGTTGATTTGTGCTGTTGTAACAATCTTTGATTTGCTCAAAATCAATTCCATGAGTGTCATTGGAAAGAAAAAGGGGATGCAGCTGAATCTTCAGTGAATTGAAATTGTTGATCCAGAACCTTAAGAGCATTAATTGTGCTCGTTCATGTGTTTGGAATAAGCTCTTAGAATCAAAACTGACTTGCCTTCAATGATGATATCTGCAGTTAGTTAAAAGCTACCTTTGTTTTGATAAAGCATAAATGTACGACTGTAAAGTAAAAGCTATCAGGCAATTGCCGACGGAGGGAAGTGCTGGCAAACTTTACCACACTCCATTTTTGCAACATTTCTTCATTATGACTTTGTTTATGGTATGTTCTGTATCCTTTTTTTTTTACTCACTGAGATGAGTTGCTTGCCTAGAATAGAAGTGAAAATAGATGCCATGTGCCTCCCTGCAGCATATGCGCAGAAGAATGGCTGTAGCTTTTTTGCAGTTGTGTGGGAGAAGTCAGGTTTATTTGGATAATGACTAACTGCATGTGTGTTTATTAGCCACACATTAGAAAGTGGCTTCATTCTATTCCATTTGAATTCAGAGGGTGGCTCTGAATGGTTAAGGAAGGGGGTTTCGTGCCCATGTTAAACATTCATACCAGCTGAAGTAATTGGCGGATTTGTTTTTATTTGCTTCCGTATTTTTTTTTTTATCAAGAGTCTGCATTTCCTACAGCTGTTCTGATAAATCAAACTTGCTGGAAAAGCTCTGATGGTGATCAGAAGAAATTGAACCTCCTGGGGAGAGCAGCTGTTCCTATAATGGGATATGTTGTGCCTCTTGATAATCTTCTGTTTGTTTGTCAGATAAGGAGATTGGGTGGTTAGTGGCCCTTTCTCTGTGTGTCGGCTTAATGAGAAGCAGTTTGATTGGAGTGTGGTTGGAATCGCTCTCCATATTCTGCATGGCTCTCCAAAGTCACAAAATGGGGAAATTGGCACCCTGATAACAATTATGGGCACTGGAGTTATGTAGGATGAAATCTGGAGTTGGGGGTGAAATCTGGGTAGCATAGGATGAGCAGTTGTTCCCTCTGCCCTCTTCAAAATGAGCAGTTCTTGGCTTATTGTCTTTTGAAATATTTGTTTTTCACACTGTTAACCAATATGAGAGAGAGCCGATACTGAATTCATGTTATTGTTGAAAGCTTTGGTTAGGCCATCTAATCTGAGGTTGAGATTAGATGTACTTTCTCTTCTTAGTTGACATTTGGGAATAAGGGTTTGAGGTTATTGAAAGTGTGGAAGAGATTGTGTGCCGTCATTTGAAGTTTATGTGTAAACAGCATTGCTCTGCAAGTCCCATTCACCTTTGCTTGGGAGAAATTCCTGAAGATAACATTGTCCTGTCAGGTGCTTTGTCCTCTGCAAAGAAACTCTGCTTTTGACCCCGTCCGCTTCCTGCTCCTTCATCATATTAGATACTCTGTGCCTTCTGTCAGCAGTTTGAACTATGGTTAAAATAGATTTGATAGCTTGGCAAGCTGTTTGGTTGTTCCTCATGTGCTACAGTCAACCTCTCATCCTTCCAAATCATTAGCTTAGCCACATCTAAAACATTGTCTTAAAACATGATAAAATGCCTATTGTACTTAGAAATTTAAATGTAGCTTTTATCTTTCATCCTATGTTTAACAGCACCTTTTGTTTCATTACATGAATGATGCTTTGCAGAATCTTATTAGTGAATAAGCAAATTTTTAGCTATTAAGCCATATGTTTGCAGATACAGTATAATATGCATTTGTTTGTTTTAGTGGATATTTATTAATACTGAACAAAATCTTTCTGACTACCTAAATTGAATAATCTTAAATCAGCACATTGTGCTCCTACCCAGATTAAAGTATAGAGTTGCTTATATGTTTAATACATTTTATTACAGGTAGTCCTCAACTTACGATCACAATTGAACCCAGAATTTATGTTGCTCAATGAGAAATTTGTTAAGTGAGTTTTGTCCCATTTTATGACTTTTCTTGCCATATTTGTTAAGTGAATCACTGCTGTTGTTAAATTAGTAACAGGGTGGTTCAGGGAATCTGGCTTCCCCAGTGACATTGCTTGTTGGAAGGTTGCAAAAGGTCACATGACCCCAGGACACTGCAGATGTCATAAATGTGAACCAGTTCTCAAGCATCCAAATGTAAATTATGTGACCATGCGGATGCTCAACGGTTGTATCTGTCGTATTTTTTTCAATGCCGTTGTAACTTTGAACAGTCACTAAAAGAGCTGTTGTAAGTCAAGGATGACCTGTGTATTCCATCAAGTTGGTGTCGATTCCTCATGATCATATAGTTAAACCTTAGCCAGGATAATCATTTTCCAGCTTTACTTTTCAAGTTTCCTAATGGGGCATCGTTACCATTACGATCAAATCCATCCATATTGCCGCAGGTTGTTCTCTTCCCTTCTTTGCTAGCATTTTTTATTTTTCAAGGGAGCTTGCATTGTGTTTACATGATGTGTACAGAATACTATAATTTGAGCCTGATCATTTGTACCTCAGGTGAAAATGCTAGATTAATTTGTTGTACAACCACGTTATTTTCTTGGCTATTCATGGTATTCCAAAAGTCTTCTCCAACGCTAAAATTCAAAAGCCTCAATATTCTTTCTGTTCTGCTTCTTTAAAATCCAACTTTGACTTCCTCGTTAATCTAAGTGTATCTTTAAAAGGTTATAGCACTAAAGTGGCAGATAGAAATGCAGTCACATAAATCAGGGGTACCCAATCCGCAGCATACCAGAAACCGGGCCACACAAACAAGTGAAGCCCCATCTGTGGGATACAAGCAGTACACAAAAACACACCTCCTTTGGTCCGTGGAAAAACTCTCTTCATGGAATCGGTCCCTGGTGACCCAAAAGTTGGGGGCCACTAACATAGAGAAACTTTTCTTGAAGTGGACCTCCTGCCTCCCACATGGAAAGATGTGTGGCATCAATTTTACAAGCAGCTTGGGTAACTGCTTCTGTCAAAAAATTCTATAATATGAATCTGAAATACATAGAAAATAGACAGTATGAACTGATTCTGTATTAGAAAATCTCATTGTCTCCATAAACAGTGCGTGAGTGCAGCTCATATGTGCCTGCGTTACTCAATATTAGTTTGTATTTGGGATTTATAAATAATTCTAAGCAAACAACTGACATCGAAGTGCTTAGGATTTTGATGTCATATTGACCTTTTGATCTAGCTTAAAACCTCCCACGGTCTTGGAACTTCTGCTTTTTTTAAAGGTCCTATTTAGTTTTCATTATTGTGCCAAAGGTGATTCTTTTGGAAGGGGTGAGATGGAAAGATTTAATCTTTAACCCTCTTCATATACTTCTCTTTAAAGTTGCAAACCTCAGCCCAGCAGTTAGCCTAAAATGGAAGATTGAGTTATTTGTAGGAATGGGTTTTTTTTTCCCCCTCCTCCTAAACTGGGGTTTTTACCCTTTTTTTTTAAAAAAAGAATCTGTTTCACACTGAGCTAAAAAGTTTCTCTAGCTGAAACTTATGTTATAATTTTTTATAATTACAATAATAGTTTCTGGGGGTTGGCAGTATATATACATTTACTATTGCTGCTGCTGTTGTTTCTTTTTTTGTTATAAATAACTATAGTTGAGTGCAAACATTTTATTTTTGTATGCTTGTTATTTTTATGTATAAAACAGGAAGGTGATTTTCTTCTCATTCTTTTCTTACACAGGTAAACATTCTACAAGATATCACTGCAAAAAAAAAAATGATTTTTTTGGGAGGGGGGTCTTTTTAAACGGAGGAGGTTATCACTTCCAATCTGTCATGGAAAAGCTTTAGTTGTCTTATGATGTACTTAAAAGCACTTGCAAAAATGCTGGATGTGCCTCTGCAATTTATTCTATGCTGATGAGTTCTTTGAACAAGAACATCCTTCAACTGTCATCTTGAGGGATGTGATTGCGCTTAATTCATTTTATTCAGTAACATTCAAGACGGTTGGGCTTTTTTTCAGTCAGTTGTTTGGACTGCTTACCTGCTGTAACAGTGCAGAATTCAGTGGAAAAAAAAGAGTTAATGAGCCGGAATAATCTGAGAGTTTTGGGGGTGGCAGGCAGGGGAAGAGTACAAGGAGTTGATTCTAGCCAGACTCTTATTCGGTTTAATATGTAACATGACCTTGACTGAGTCCATCCATCACTGCAATTAATGTACTTTACGTTGTAGGAATGTAAGTTCAGTGACGTTTTTCAGGAAACAAAACAGCACCAATTGCTGTTGCTAAGAATTGAAATTAAATATGATGCTTCTTAACCACAGCAATTTTCATTGTTGAATTGGGGCCCTCTAAATGTGTTGGGATTTAATCATCCTATAATTTTTTATCAGTGCCTCTCTTTGCCAGGGATTATGGGTGTTGAAGTCTAGTACAGTCTTGAGGATGTGGGCGGGCATATGGTTTTGCTTTTAGTTTCTGGTACAGATTCTCTAAGTTTACTTTCTTTCAGTGAAGATAGGATGGCCTAATTGTAGGGTTGTTAAGTCAGTAAAGAAATCTGTCAAAACCTTTCATAAATTTATATGTAATTTATATGTAGTCTGAGTATGATATTTCTACTTTTCAAATAAAAAAGACGAATAAATATTGTCCTCAACTTATGACTACTATTGAGCCCAAAATTTCTATTGTTAAGTGAAACATTTGTTAAATGTTTTCCTCATTTTATGATCTTTTTTGCCACAGTTGTTAAGTGAAACACTGCAGTTGTTAAGTTGGAAACACGGTTGTTAAGTAAATATGGCTTTCCTATTGTATTTACTTGTCAGAAGATTGCAAAAGGTGATCAAAAGGACACTGAAACCATCATAATGAGTCAG